AAAGCATTTCAACAATGCCAAGTTAATGAACTGGATTTTTTTATTTTTTTTTTTGTATAATCAAAGTGAGATTAGCTTTCTACTAGCAAAAGAAAAAGCTCGAGTGCTAATTGTGCTTCAAATATCAGCCAAAGTAGCCAGTGCATTGTTGTGTTGGCATCAGACAATAGAATCGCCACTCGCCAAAAAACCCTCATTACACCAGAAGTGTTGCCATTAACATTCCCAACCTTCTCCACCTCCCCTTCACATCTGCAGTATTTTTCTTCTGTTTTTAAGAGTGTGTATTTTGCTTCGCCTTCACTCTGTGCCTAACAGCACTCAAGGCATAGGTAGATACCACCTAAAAACCATCTCACAATGTTCTGCTTGTTCACATCTCTCTCATGCTCTCATTGCACAAAGAAAAGCAAATAGATAAGAATTCAGAATCTTCCTTATAAAAGGCCATTGGTGTGAGTGTGTGGCAGGACTAGTTCTTTAAAATAGACAGTCCACTGTGATAAATTCCACTGTGATGGCATCTAAAGCAGCAAGAAGCTAAAAATCCAAAGAAAATAAACATGTTTCAGTTGTATGAGCTAACAGAATGAAACAGATAAGCTCTTTTCCAAAGGAGGAACTGAGACCATCTAGGAGCAGCGTAAGAGGACGCTGTGTCTGGACTTTAATAAGCATACTACCCAGCAAAAACATAGCCACAGGATGCTTTGTTTGTTGTTGGCTTTCCATTTGTTTTGTTGTTTCTAAGAACAATGAAAATACAATAAACCCTGAATAGCTAAAGGCAAGCTGTAATGTTCAATAGTGCTTTATATTTTTTTCATAAGAAAATAGCATAAATGCACTTCAAATGAATATACAAGCTAGCATTCTGCAATACAAAGACGCTCTGCTACTGAAATAGCCACAAAGAGAAAAAGCGCTAAGAACTCCAGGTTCAGCAGTGCTTCTAATACATCTTAACTTCTCCTTCTAATGCATGAGAAAGAGAAAAGGTAACTCACTCCAATTTTAAAAATAACATACTAAGGATAATATAGGATACAGTCATTTTCATAATATCAATCAAGACACTTTAACTTGCCTGTGTCTTATTTATTACAACCATTGTCTTTAATAAGATACATTGCTTCAAATCTGGAAATCCCCCACCTAGGTAACCAGAAAATGCATAAGACAAAAATACCACGACCAAACCAACCAGGGGCACTCAAACACTGGGTACTTCCAGGGAATGCTCATAGTGAGCAGCTGACAAGCTGAACAACTGAACTTCCTTCTTAAAGTTTAGGGACATTTTAAAATAGCAATTACACAAAGGCAAACAGAGTTTTCACACGGATTATTCACAACTAGGAAAGAGGCCTTCATTAGTCAAATGAATTATTCTTTTGTACTACTCACATGGAACTTGCAGAGTGTTGCTTTCTGCCATCAGTCACTCAGAGTGCACCTATGGGCACCCATCCTGGCAGAGCTTTGTTGCTGTTCTGCTATGAAGAGGATTGCTGCATTTCTTCTTGCAATCATAACTGGTAACATGAAAAAAAAAAAAATTATTGTAAGAAAAACTGCATGATGAAAACCTTTTTTTTTAATTTCTTTTTCCCTAGTACAAATTAACATTGCTATAACATAACTGCATTGTTTCAAGTAACAAACAAGCAACAGATCTTCATTATGATCTCTGTTAGATTTGCATATTTGTACTTCTTTAAAGATCTGGTCAAAATATTAACATGACAAGCAAGTATAAAATAAGCAGCAGCCAAGCATGTTACTGCATTAATTAATGCACTCAATTCTACTTCAGAGAAGTAGGATGAGATGTTTGGATAGTTCAAGTGAGTGCCTACATTCAAAGAATAAAACTTCACACTGCTAGTTTAAGTCAGAGGAATCTTAACAAATATTAAGAATTGTGCTCATACATTTGTCTTATTCTCTGTGTCAAAATTTCAGCAATGAGGGAATGGGATACACAATTTAAGTAGAAGAAAATAGAAGAAATACCAAAGTAGCTGACTATAAATATGTCCTATCTTCATTATTCCTTTGTTGCCTGAGAAACTGAGTCACTGTTAGGACCTGTAGAGTGTAACAATGTAAAAAATCCTCACCAAAACATACACAGTTAGCTCAGCTCCATTACAGAAGTGCCTGTGTTTACATGAAGGAATAAATCTGAGAATAAACACATATTCACTGCAATTAATCTTAGATTACCTATTCCACTATTCATAACCAGCCTGTGTGCAGACACAATGCACTTCTGTAGATTCCAACAATCCCAGGTGTTAACTGTTACCAGTTTAGGCACAGCCATGAGGTCTCGTAATGCTTTGGTACCTTATAATGAGGTACCAAATACATCCTATCTGAAAATATATTTTCAAAAGCAGTTTGTATGCTAAATTTCCCCCTACTAGTAGGTTACCCAAAAGCACTGGAGTTAACACATGTAAGAGCAACGTGCAATCTCACACAAGATTGAAATGTTGAAACAATTTTTTTTTTTAAAGTCTTCCCTTAAAATAAAGCTCCCTTCCTAGCTCAAGAAAATTGAGTAATATTTCACGTCTACAGTTATTTGTGATGATGAAAAGGAGTTCATCTGATGACAACCTGTCCCTTACACATCAAGCGCTATCTATCAGTATGAGAAGAAGAAGGCAGTTAAGTGTAATTCAAGTGAAAAGATTCAGGTCTCTGCACATTCTAAAATAAGAGCTGATTATACCGCGTACACATGTGTGCCCATAAAAGGTGCCAAAATATGAGTCTTGCTCCCTGTCTGCCCCATAAAATTTTGGTATGTTTCATCATACTGAAATAGCAGAATTAACAATCCCCCAGACAGGTTATAAATTTAGCCTCATGAGAGCTAGAATTCAATTACATTTGCTTCTGAGAACCAGACACGTTAGTAGAGCACAACACTTGTGAGCCAGCACAGCAGCATTTTCAAATCAAAGGTTTCTAGCTTTTTGCTGAAAGCTGAAAGTTTCTGTTTTCATGTAGCAAAAAGTGGTGAGAAGTCAGAACTGCTTATAAAGAGCACACAGACAATAATCTTAATAAAGAAAATACTTGCAACAGAATATTTTGGGCCACTTCCACAATGAATTCATGCTGGTTTGCCTTTTACAAAACAGCAGCATGAAACCTCAAGGTTCAGAGCTAATCCAGTAGAGCAGCCTCAACCCCAGTTAATTTTAATCACAGAAGGTGCCCAGCACACCCAACACAGCTAACCTCACGTTATTCATTTAAATCAAGTCTAAAGAAAGAAAAGGAAAAATCCTCACTCTTTTCCTCTTGGTGGAGCGTTCTTATATTTGAATTACACTGTTTTATCTCTAGTGACAAATCTGTTATACTTTGGCTGCACCAACATCTTAGAGTCACGCTATTCCTTTCATTCGTTTCCCCTGTGCTTCTACCTCAGTACCTAATGCGCTGTCAGAATCTGAGAATCCATCCATAAGTATTATGAGTAACTGCTGTATATGCAAGTACACGGGAGAAGTGAGCTTTCATTTCTTTCACTGCCATCATTTACATAGTGAATATGATCCCGTATAAATTACTTCTTGTCATCTCTCTACATTTGATCAGCTGAAGGATCCTTCTATCAAAACTGGGGAAACGAAAGAAAAACTATCAGCTATTTGACACTCCTTTATACTTGAAGTTTGAGGGTTTGTACAGCTTTATATTCAAACTGCTATACTTTGTGATGGCTTCTCCTCTTAGAAAAGGATTCCTTTGATAGTAAGACAAATTCTATCCTATTCCTCCAGGCTAAAAATCTCTATTTTCATGACTTCCTTCAGAACATTAGAATCTCTGAATACCACAGTATTAAGCAGAAAGGTGTTTTTAAGTGGTTACAACTTGACAGTAACTCCTTAGCTGGGGGAGAACTGACAAGTGCACTTCCGGAGGCTGCAAGAACCCATACAGTCTTCCTCGCTTGACATAAAGCTTCCTACTCTAGACATTTTTTGCATTAATGTTGGTCTTCAGCCAGGTTCTCCAAGAATTTAATATGAAGCTACATCTTGACAAGAGTTATCCTAAATCACGTCTCGGTCTACGTTCCTTAATACAAAAAAATCCACTTTGCATTAAAGTGACAAAAGGGTATGATTTAAACTCTTAGCACAATGCAATTCAGAGCTGAAATAACTGAGCAGAGTGTCTTTTCTCTGTGTGGGTCGTACAAGGCATTTGAAATTGATGACTAATACTGAATACACACTCTATTCCATTAAAAACATCATACTGCTAATGAATATTTCACAGCGTCTTTCAGATGAGAATGCCAAGGGTGGTGAGGAGGTATTTTTCTTAGTGCCATTAACACACCTATCACATGTCTACAGGACTTTCTCAGACAATTCTGTCCTGGGGAATGATGGGACTGGCTTTGCTTCACATATATTCAAGGGACTCACAAATACTAGTGAAAAAACTATGAGCTAAATTCTGCTTATTGCTTTCAGTGCCATTAACAACATGGTAAACAGGATTTGGCCACCGTCACTTTTCATTTTCGTGCACCTGGGTGATCAAGATAAGCAGCTCTTAACACAGCATTCAAAAAAGAAGCAACTAAATTCAAGATGTGTTCTTCTCCTTGAAGAAACAATTATTCAACTACAATTTGCAACTTCTCTTAAACACAATAAAAATAGCCAAACTACACTGCCAACAGTTTTACTTGTGTAACTACACTGGTGTCCTAAGAACACAAAACTCAGATAAACAGCACCATCAGTAAACCTGTCTTCTTGCTTACTCCATATGCAAAGGAAAAGATAAAACCACTAATCTTTAGAAAAGATTGTTCTCATAATAAAAAGCCTCCAAGGAACATCATTGTTGGTGATTTATGGTTATAGTTTCCTCCTCATTGAAAGGCCTCCTGTTACAACTAAAAAGATTATCATGGTGGAAATGGGAAAAGAAGAAAAGTGGGAAGGAATACTAACCTGTATCCAAAGATCCAAGTTCACAGGAAAGACTCCACAGAAAAGGGATCTACAGAAAGAAAACCTTCCTCACTCCCACTCAGCCCTTTAAAAGGGGTCTACAACCTTCACCTGTGCTCCCAGGGCTGACTCAGTCCTTTCCTCAGGTGATCAATCAGTGGTTCAACCTGTGACTCAACAGTTCCCATACACCTCCATTTGTTCAGAAAAAGCAAACAGCTAGACTTTAGAGGAATATGGTAAGATAGAAGGTCGATTTACTGCAGTAGTCTAAAAATAAGTAACAGTAGAATTTTTCCATTTTGCAACTGTTAATTCTCGCATGTTCTGTTCTGAAGTGGGACAGAAAGGGGATTTATTAATACCCCTTGATTTCTTTTTTTGAATAAATAATTCACAATTGGAAACAGATCCAGCCGTGACCTCCATTAAGTTTTTAAGCATAATAGCCTTATTTAAATACATATATTTCCAAAGTGCACTTTCAGATTGGAAACTGCCACGTACCTGCCAAGTCCTACACCATCTTCACAAAAAGGATTCCTATAGTCTTGACTGAGGTAATGTAGAATCAGAAAAGAGAACCCTTTCCAGAGAATTCTAAAAGATAAACTGCCTTCTTTAAAAACAAAATCCCCACAAATCTGTGGCCATTAATCATTTATGTTACCTCTTTAAATCAATGTTACTAGGAGATTAAACCCTTTGAGTTTGGGCATCAAGGCTTCTTTACAGCTACACTCAGCATGATACTCCCCCTTATAGGAATGCCACAACACAGCTCTTCCACAGAGAAAATACGTATATTCCTTTAAAATGTGCTACAAATAAATCATCAGATCATATATCTATATAACATTGTACATCACAGAAAGATATACTTCGTGAGAACATCAGTTTCTGTTTTTTTCTCAGCTCTGCCCAACTGATGTAAAGTGTCTTGACAGGAAAACTATTACAGTAAGCTTTATAAAAGGCCTCCCCTATATTTTTGCCTATTCCAGGCAGAGTGCTGCTGATGTTTCCCTCTCAGTTCAGTTGTATCAGTTGGGAACCAGACACAACGAAAGCTAGACTTTTTCTTCTTTAAATTTTAAGTCTGATAATTTTGCAGCTGTTGTTAATAACAAATTTTGTAACAGAAACTTCCTTGCTTAGTATTGCTACTGCTTTTGTTGCTACTACCACTTTTCTTGTCCTCCTTATCATCCCAATTATTTGCTATTAAAATTCATGCCCTCTCCTACATCAGCTTACATATGAGCTGAACTGAAAGTAGGCTGCTATGGTGCTCACAGACTTTTGAAGAGCAATGGCATGTATTTGAGTACAAAAAAAAGCCTGTAAAAGAAAGTATGCATCAGTAGCACAGAAGACAACCAGCTCACACACTGAATAAATTTGTGATGAATATCACACAGACTCTTGTACAGGCAGTCATGCATCTACCACATTCTGCTTGCTGCTTCCCACAAACCCCATCAGCCTCGTTTAGGAGAGACATTTTAGATGATAATATTGCCTTAGATAACTGGTTCACGTAACATGCTTTTTAAAAGCGTTTTTTCTTGCTTTACTGTGAGCAAAGCTGCAGATTTCTGACAGAAATGAACAAACCAGGCACATCAGGGAGATTATTTAAAAATTGTATTTTTCCCCCTGTTGTCAAGGTCTTCAGGGTACAAAATAGGCCCTAACAACCCAACCCAGGATGGCCCTCAATCCTCTCTCGTATCTACACTCCGAAAGTCCATTTCAGCTTCTGCAAGGGACCCCGATGTTTTTCCCAGCACAGTGCCTGTGCTCAAACCTGTCTGCTGCACTTTCCACTGTGATGACACCCAACACATCACCTTACCGCATCAGGCAGCCCCTGAGCTTCCAGGAAACCTATCCTGGCCATCAGCCCTATTAGAATGCCAAGTGACCTGTGGTCATTACCATGCTTTCATGAGAGGCACTGCAACTCAGCTTCCATCAGGGTTGTCCTGCTGCTCCTTGACAACACTCACATACTTGTAATATTTTATAACATTGAGAATTTTTTAATGATAAATTTTATCCTAGAAAACACAGTTTTGAAAAACCACAGTAATTGCAGAAAAATATCACTTTTCCTACAAAAGCATCACTGATAAATGAGACAAGGTGAAAGTTCTGGTCAAAATCAACAGCTCCTATACTACTTCAACCCTGCATTAGGCACAAGCAGAATCTGAAGTTCAGATTTTTATACCTCTGACCCGTGACTAAGTCACTAACACATTGCACAGTACGTGCACGCCTGTTCTCTCACACTCACATGCATTCTGGTTCAGGTTTATTTGTGTGAAGACATGAACTGTAGAATGGTTTGGGTTGGAAGGAACCTTTAAAATTATCAAGTTCCAATTGTTCCAATGTTTCACCACCCTCACAGTAGAAAATTCCATCCTAATGTCCAGTCTAGATCTACCCTTTTCCAATTTAAAGCCATTTACCCTCATCCTGTTGCTACCTGCCCTTCTAAAAGGTCACCCCCCAGCTTTCCTGTAGGCCCCCTTCAGGTACTGGCAGGCTGATATAAGGTCCTTCTAGAGCCTTTTCTTCTCCAGACTGAAGAGCTTTATCTCATTCTTGTGTTGGGTTCCCAAGAACTGGACTCAACACTCCAGGTGAGGTCTCATGAAGGGCAGAATTACCTCCCTCAACCTGCTGATCACTCTTCTCTCGATGCAAACCAGGATACAATTGGCCTTTTGGGCTGCAAGCACACATTGGTGGATCATATTGAGTCTTTCATCAACTGACACCGCCAAAACCCTTCTCCTCAGGGCCGCACTCAAGCCCTTCTCCCCACAGCCTTTATCTGTGCTTGGGATTGCCCTGATCCAAGTATAAGACCTTGCACTTGGCCTTGTTCAATTCCATGAGGTTGGCATGGGCCCGCCTCTCAAGCCTGACCAGGTCTTCTTAGATGGCATCCCTTCCTTGAAGCATGTCAGCTGCAGCACTCAGCACCCATCTACAGTGGGACTCAGTCCCACTGTCCTGTCTCCTATCAGTCCCAGCATGGATCCCTGAGGAATGTCATTTATCACTGGTCCTCATTTGAACATTGAGCCATTGACCGCAACTCTGCGTGTGACCTCCAGCCAATCCCTTATCCAGTCAACGGTCCATTCTTCAAATCAATTTTTAATCCAGTTTGGCAACCTAGATATTGTGCCAGACAGTGTCAAAAACAGGTAGATGACATCAGTTACTTTTCCTTTATTCACTGATGCTGTAACTCCATCATAAAAGGCAACCAAGTTCTGTCAGAAAAAGTTTGCCCTTGGTGAAGCTACAGTAGTTATCACCAGTGTGGAAAGAACTGAATGCCAATTCAATAGCATAGAAATGGTATTTTAGGGATAGTGGAGTTTGAGTTGTTTGTTTCGGGGTAGAGAGAGTAGTCTGGTTCTGACATACTTCAAAATTCTCAAAAGAGGGAACAGAGCTGAAAAACATCCATGGTTAGATATTAGTAATCCAAGGAGTAGAAATCGCTGCTCGAGACTCTGAGGGATCAGATACTGCTTAACCAGTGAACTAAGAATAAGGTAGAATGAAAAATCAGCAGGATATCAGTCATATTTTCAGTATGGAATCTTGAAGTTATGTGATCCAACAGGATATTTTTGTTGAAATTAAGCCTTTTTTTCTGCATATATCATAATTTTCACATGTTGGAGAATCCCAATTAAGGAATTTTTTCTTAAAATCTTAGTCCACTTCCTTTGAGAGACGGTAACAGTTTATGATAAGTTTGTGGTTTTTTTTAATTCACTGACTCACATTCCATTCCCACTCCTTGGCATAAAACATTAATGCGCATCTGCAAGCGTAACTTGTTGGGAGACTGGAATGGGGAGAATCTGTCAGCTATATGTAATACTTTAAAAAGCAGGATAAAAGAGGAACCAGAAAAATATCAAGAGGATCCCAGTGGGAAGAGACAGCAATCCTCAGATTGCAGTTTGAGAGTTGCTGCTTATGAGTACATCCAGCTTCATCCTTTGAAATATACCTGTATGGAAAATATTCCAGACTCCTCTAAGACTACAGTAGTAACAAGAAGTCTACATGATCTATTTACACTTAGGTCTGATTTACAGAAATAACTCTTGGCAGGAGGCAAGTTGATAATAAAAAGTGAAGCTTTCCCATTCCTCTTCTAAACACATCTTTAGATGTCTCTCTGTTCTCCACCCATTAAATGATGGATCTAAAGACTAAAAAGAAACTGAAGAAGTGGCAAGTTCTAACGCCTGTTGGACTAAATGTGTAAATTATGAAATCAAGTCTCAGAACTGGAAGACCTTAAGTCAGAATACTGGTAAGTCAAGAAAGTGATGAAAGCAGTGTTCACCATTATAAAGGATGCTGATTTTATCTGTGACATTTCTAGCCCTTAGAAGTCTACAATATTTTTCATACAAGATCAAAGAAAATGCATTAATATTTGCATATGGTTTTGGAGTATATTTCCCCCCTTCTACTTGCATCTCTCTCAATCCCTAACTTCAAACACTGGATAATACTGAAATCTCTAGTTTAAAAGCAACAAAAAACCCTCCACTTCAGATAACTAAAATGCATATTGAAATTAATGGGAAGCATTTGATTTCTTCCCATGAAAAATAAAAATCTGACATTTTCTGGAGAAGGCCCATCTTTAATCTCCAGGTGAATCATGAAAGCAGAGAAGTGTGATTATCTAATGAAAGCTTTTCTGTTATTCTCACATTTTTCTGCATGAAATTTTTGTAATGTTTATTTGTATGAGTTCACTTATATTGCTTGAATTTTTTAAGCAAGCATTTGCTTTTATTGTAATACAGTTTTATGATAATTAAGAAGAACTTGACATATTTTAATAAGTTCTGCATGATTGGCAGTAAAACATTCACTGAAAGGAATTAATGAGAATATTGAATTAGATATGTCAAATGCATCCAATTTTTATAACCTCTACATAACACACACAAAGCACAGGAGCTATTTTGTCAGCATAAATGATACT